TTATACAAAAATCTCTTACTTAATTAAAGATACTTACTTAGTTATCGTAACAATTGCTTAATATAATATAATATAATATAAATGTTTAATATCATTACAAATTACAAAATTGTGTGTATATAACAGAACTCAATATAGTAAGAAGTATGAAACTGTTTAGTGTCGTTGAAGGTTGAAGAAGAAGAATGGCAAAAGTGATCGTAAAACGAGTACTTTGCACGTGTATTGTTTCAAGAAAATTGATAGAAAAAAATAATAATCAAGTGATTTGCATGATATAGATTTTCGTTTATTGTGAAGATACTGCAGCTTTGCACGCCCGAATGACAGAGTAATGAATAATTTATTATTAAGCGTTATTGTTAATAAAGCTGTATATATATACATACGGAAGTAAATTTAGTAAATTAACGGAATTAACCATGTCTCATGTTGCTGACAAAATTATACGAATCCTACACGAGTGTCATCCTAACAAAGACGATTTTGAGAATAAGACAAAAGACTCGAGTGAGTCGAAAGAATCAAGAAAGAAAATCGAGAAAGAAAAGTTGGAGAAAATCAAGAGTGATGCAGACAAATTTTTCGCAGATACACGATGCAACTATATAGCAAGTGTTGAATATGCTAGTTTAAATAAGATGCTGGCTCTGTGTAATTTAGAGGTATAGTTGAATCTTTAAATTGTCTAGATATAAAGGAAGGATTATTCTACAAGACACGCACGTATACTTGGTATATTGTGATAACTGTTGAGAGATATATGCAATACGTTATTATATATTATTTTTCAGATTGGCAACGAGATCACAGCTATTCATCATTTGGTTGAAGCTCACGCAGTGATACTTCGACAACACATTTTGCACAGATATCAAAAGACTCACGTGCGCGAGTCTGTGTGGAATGAACCTCAAATATATGGGCTGAGACCAACACATGTAAAGTTCGAGACAAAATTTACGGACAATAATGAAGCGTTGAAAACGAAACTGTTAAACTTACCGAAAGGTACGCGATACCACCTTTGTCTTTTATTGTATTTACCTTTTTGTACCTTACAACGTTATCAAGTTTTTCCACGTTTGTTCGCAGAATGGTACATGATTCAGGTTACTGCCCAGTATGAATCTCCGACTATATTAAGATACAAAAAGCGTACATCCAACGTAATGCATGCTGTACATATTACGATACTTCCTACGGGTATATCTGACATAGAACCATTGTGTATAACTGTACCAAGACCCGCGACGCAAGTGTCCTACGATATCTGCGAAGAGATTCAGAAACTATTGGATGATTACACATCCGTGCTAAAGACCACTTATACAAATCATAAGCAATATTGGATGATGCGTGCAGATCAAAACAATAAAATGAAGGTAAAGGACTTGAACGTAGGCTAACATACACATTTTGCATAAGGAACATTTTTAACTGATTAATTACAGATAGCTATAAATGGATTGGAGAATGTATGGTTGAGAGAATGGAGAGTATTATTTATGGCCGACCCTATTGAGAATTTGGAAATGGTAAATGAGATTCATCAAATGATTGACAAATTAATATCAGATTTCAAATCTCCGTAAGTAATGCTTATCGAACGTTCGTTGTGCTCGTTGTGTTGTTTAAGTATTAAATTTTATTGTTTTACTCTTTTAGCAATGAGATATCAAACAGATGTAAGTGGCTTTTGAAGAAGGTATCGATAGGTGCGGGTTTTCTCACGCGTGAGGAAATAGCGCGTGCGATCAAGTTTCTACTTCCCGAACATGAAAAACTTGCAAACAACATCATTTTATCTATTTATGGGAAGTTACCATACATAAAAAACCTAGAGAATACAAAGCGGCAAACGTTGGTTCTAATTATTGACGAGGTAAACATACAATATGAGACATGAATTATACGAAAGTACGAATTTATCCAAGTTTGTTTTGTATATAAAGTATATAATTGCTTTTATTTTTTTATTAATTTTTTCTTAAGCACATGGATTACATAGCGTTTGAAGCTATGGAAATTATTAAGAACCATCCTACTACCCGTTTCCCATCTCTACATGTAGCATATGCATTATTTAAAGAACACGAAGATACTATAGTGGATGGTTGTAAAATAATTAAAGCTAGAGAAGACATGGGAATTTGCGTAGTTAATCCTTCCGGTGATCTTGATAAAATGGAAAAACGTATGAAGCTTTTTATGGACTTTTGGTTACCGCAGTGGAAAAGCTGTTATAATGCACAACCTGGTGAAGAAATGTCTGAAGCGTTAATAAATCGTGACATTTTAATGTAAGGATATTATTTCTCTATTAAAAGTCCTTAATCTGTTTATTATTTGTCGGAGATTGTACTTTGCTTCTCTTTTTCTCTTTTACAGGTATACTGGTCATGGAAACGGTATAGAATATTTATCTGGAGAAGATATTGAAAGGATGAGAGTGAAGTCTACCGTTTTATTATTTGGATGTAGCAGCGTGAAACTACTTGTAATAGGTGGAAGATATCCACCTTATGGCGTTTCAAATCAATATTTAATAGCGTGCAGGTAAAAAGAATGTATTGAACTGTTATGTTCGTGTCGTGTATAAGAATTTCTTTCCATTTAAATCTACATGAGAAATCGCATGCCAAACACGCTCCTTTTTCTCTCCCCAATCTACACATAAATGCATACGATCATACGTAACACGTTAATTTACAATTCAGTCCTTGCCTCTTGGGTATGCTGTGGGAAGTAACGGACGCAGATATCGATAAAATGACAACAAATTTCATGAGCACGTGGATTCCTTCGTCTTCGAAGAAATCATGGGCTGAGGTAGACATGGATAGTTGGAGTTCTGGTACTCTGAGTTAGTATTAGTATTTGATTGAAAATATAAATCATGCGTTTGTGCTTTCTCAATATCATATGTTCTCGATAACTTTGTAACTAACGTTTTCAGAATTTACGAAGAACGGAGCAAAGGATAAAACAAAAATGGAGCCAGAAATGTTAAGGGCAGTGGCAAAGTCTAAGAATAGTTGCTCGCATTATATGACGGCAGCTGCGATAGTAGTACGAGGTTTACCAATAAAAATAGTTTAAATCCTCGCTGATATCATTGATTATATATTTTTGCAACACTGATGTGAGATAGGTAATTTAAGTTTCTAAGTGTCGTGTGTAGTATGTGTAGTTTGCCAAAAGACAAGACTACAGTACGTTCACTTGTGGAACAAAGTTACATTTTAATTTTAATAATTTAATTTTTATAATGCGAAGATATCTCAGAGACGCATTTTTTATATAAAAATAATAAAAGTGAATTAAAAAGTCGTCGTTTCGATTGATCGCTGCCTTCAAGCCGACTCAAGCTCAGATTACGGTCTTTGGTCACATAATAATCTGCGGTTCTGGTACAGAAGTGGAAATGCTCTTGTGCGGCAAAACCTGTCCGCCATTAATATATAATTCATCCTTCACGATAACGTCTTCTCCTAATACAGTTGTACCTTCCATTCGCACCCATCGTCCTACAACGCTTCTCCAGCCAACGATACAACTGTTAACATATTTTTAATTATCTTGACATGAATATTGTCACATGAATATTCTATGAGGCTTCACATATATTTAATACTAATACTTGCCCATCTAGCCAAGCATGCTCTTTTATCACAGCTGCTTTCAGAATAGTGCTTCGTTTAATACAACATCCGTCAGCCAAAACGGCGCCAGGACCAATCGTGACGTTGGGTCCGATTCTACAATCCTTGCCAATCGTAGCCGTTGGATCTATCAAGACATTGCCCACTATACCCGGCCCGGAATAAAGCTGTTCGGGATGCTTTTGCCTCAATGAGGCAAGATACATAGACATTCCTGAATAAAGTTATGGACACTAACAATAGTAACTAATAAGTATATGACGGAACATTGCCGTTTGAGAAAATTCTAATACGCAAGTATTTGCCTGTGAGAAAATCTTTAGGTTGTCCCACGTCCATCCAGAAGCCTGGCAATTCCATGGCGTATAACTCTCCATCCTGAGCCATGCTTGGAAAGACTTCCTTTTCGATACTCGTAGGTTTCAATTCTATTCTGTTTAATACGCTCGGATTAAAGATGTACATACCTATATTTTACAAAAAAGACAGGGAGAAGATATATATATTATGTGTATGTGTGTATGGGCGCACACGTCGTAAACTTTTTCTAACCGAGTTTCAATCTTTTCCCTATACCATACCTGCGTTAATTTTATTAGATATAAACTCTTGTGGCTTTTCAATAAAGCTCTCAATCTTTCCATCTTCTCCATATACAACTACACCATACTTTGACGGCTCCTCTACTTTAGTGACAACTATAGTTCCCTCTTTACCATGATTCTCATGGACGTCGAGGAGCTGTTTAAAAGGAAAGTCGCAAATGATGTCAGAGTTCAAAACAAAAAATGGATCATCACTGGCAGATAAATATTCACGCGCGAGCGCAAGTGGCCCAGCGGTACCCAATGGTTCCGGTTCATGAGAAAAGATAAGTTTTACTCCCAGTTTCTTTGCCTCGTGAACCAACTCTTCTTCCATCTCCCGCGCCCGGTAGGAAACGGCCAATATAACTTCACTTACATTTGTCTGTACCTAAAAGTTCAGGAAGTTCAAGAAGAGAAGTATACCTTGGAAAGATAAGGAAAATCATACTTTGACGACATTATACCACATACTTGGTACTATGCTAAGTCAATATTCAGAGTATTTATACATACCAGTGCTTCAATCTGATGTAGAAGCATCGGTTTATTTGCAAACTCGACAAGTGGCTTAGGCCGACTTAGAGTAAGAGGTCGCAATCTGGTGCCATAACCACCCACAAGTATTAAAGCACGCATGGTTTGTAATTTCTTTCTTTTTTCATGCATTCCTACGAATATTCTGCAAAAACGTCATATATATTATAATAAAAACAAAGGTATTCTCTATTTTTGCAAAACGTGTATAATTACGTTGCACGGTCTACACATTATAATAACGTTGTTGTGACACAACCTATTATCAAATCATCCTCTATTATTACGTATTAAATCACAATTTATGACGGAAGAAATCAACGACCTCCATTCTAAATTTGCAAAATGTAAAATTATATTTTACTCGATATTACTCTTGCCCATTTTATTTCACTACAACAAGTAAATTTATTTACTCTTATTTTGTTATTTCCATCCTAATACCTACGTTACATCATTTATTTAGTAATATAATACGTACCTGCATTACGCCGCGGTATTATTTATATTGCTTATTGCCCTCTTTGTTGTTGAAACACACAATGTTACTACTTATGTTAACTACCGTCTACCGTCTTGTTAATGAAGAAACTTTGATATATTGTCACTATTGTCAGTAGTATGGCGGGCCACGCCAGTCGCCACGGGCCACGGCCACGGAGCCAAGTGGCCACGTATCACACGTATGACGTATGGCGTCCAGCCCGTCCAGGTCCAGTGCGTGCAGTGATACCTGATACCGCTGGGCTGCTGACAAATTAGTTTACGTAGTTATCCGCGACACAGAAATTCGTGAGACAACAAGTGAATGAGGGTCACGTAAAGAAAAGATACGCTATAGATTTATGTTTATGATACTAGCAGCTTTTTACATTCACTCGCATCGATAATGTTATCTCGCGAGAAAGAAATGTTCTTATCGTAAACACGGATATGTTCGGGTGAACACGTAGCACTTGCTTCTATCAGTCTCTAGCGGATCTTACGTGGCAAGCGTGGCAATAATTGTCTTGTCACCGAGGTCCGAGATACCATACCTTGGCCTATATCTGCCCAGCCCAGCCCATGTGCTTAGTGTCATCGGTTGGGTATTCGAATGACAAAGAGACAAATATTTTTTATAATATTTTAATTGTACACAAATTATTTATAACGACATATATCCAGAGACACTTGTCTTTTCACATAAACATATGACGTTAGACACTTGAACGTCTTGAACTGTCTATCAGTATCAGTATCTAAAAGCCTAAGCCTAACTCTAACCTATAAGTATAATCGAGCATGCGACACGAGTTTCGAATATATCGCTCGATACGCGTGCAACTCGCTGAGATAGCTAGGCGCTAGGCGTGGTATGTAATCTGATAGGAAATTTTATATTAAATAAATTTACATGATTTAGTATGTTTGTGTGTAGGTGTGATGTAAAAGGCTTCATTGTATACATTGCACAAGAGTGAAACTGTATTTATTTAGACAAATAAAATACAAAGAGTTGCATAAAGATAAAGCACGTTACACAATCATTTCCAGCTCTCGGGCATAGTCTATCGCGAGTGTTGCCAATTCAGAACTCGGGATAGGCTCCTCGGATTTTTTCTCGCTAGTCGTGGTAAAATAAAAATAGCCGTCCTTTGATAGATTCCAGTTCTTTTTGGTGGCAAACGCTTTTATGTCTTTCTCCGTGGTTAAATTGAGCATCCTTGCGGCATCCTGAATGGAAATTTTGTCGTATGCGCTTTCCATGCACGCGCCAATCTCGTCGCGAACGGTATTTAATAAAATGTCTATGAAGAAATTGTAGGATGCGGCGGGCACGTTACCCTTGGCCAGGAAAATCTTGTTGTACGAACCCTCCATCAAATACTGCTCCAAGCTTAGAGGATGCCTTATATAAACGTTTGACTGTATCTGATCGGACGGCAGGAGTTCCAGTTCCGTGTGAAATTCCGCGACGCGATTTTGCGACAGCAGAAACAAGAGATTGAGACCGAGAAGCTGATATTTGTAAGCCGACTCCATTAAACCGGATTTATAATCGAAATAGTAACACTTTAATTGCGCCATGTATCTCTCGAAGGAAGGTATATCCTCAGTGGCGATGCTCCATTGTGCTCCGATTTCCAATATGTCTCCTGTGGTTCAAACAAGATATATAAAAAGTTTCATTTTTCAATTATATTTCACTTATGTATGTGAAACACTTAGCTTACTAACGATTAACGTACTTGCGATTAATAATTCATTTTGACTGGCCGTGCTATTTGACGTCGGGAGGAACATCAGGTGAGTGAGACCGATCTGTGCATGAAAATTATCACCAACGTGTCGATATTATATTATATTATACTATCTATACTGTGCTATCAAACAAAATGCTACATATCTAAAAGCTGAAACGTCAAGAAGAATGATGATTAAAATTCGAAAACAAAGTCGCGGCAAATGATGACAATCCATTTCGACAATCCACAAGAGCGATGAGGTTATGAGGTATGAGATCGCTTATCAACAATTATCTCGCTCGATACTACGAATCAAATATGTAATGTGAATTACCTTCAATTGGTTGAGCACGTCGCCACATTTCTTCAAATTGCACGGTGTTCTTGTCCATTCGCGTTTTAAATTCTGATATGAGGCAACAACATCCTCGAGGGCTGCCATCTTTAATCTCACCACGAAACACGATACATCGAGATCGACTATCGAGATAATATACCAGTTTTTTTTAGCTGCACTGGCTGAACTGGTGCACACTAGTGCAGTAAATTAGAGTAGTAAGGTCTCACTCCAACTTATTGGCTGCGTTCAGCAGACACAACTGTTGAGTTCGTCTTATCAACACTCCGCGTTGATTGGTTGGCTCTAAAAGTAAAAGCCAATCACGTTTGACTGCTACTGAGCGGCTTGGTCTGCTGAACGCGCCCATTATACCAGTTCAGCCCAGCTCAGTCAGTGCAGCTAAGGCCCAGTTCAACAGTGGCCAGTTAGCTTAACTAGTAGTTAACTCTCACTCTCCGTCTCTATCTAACCTTTGAGTTAAAAAGAGACAGAGAGTGAGAGTTAACTACTAGTTAAGCTAACTGGCCACTGTTGAACTGGGCCTAAAAGAAACAGACCAAATATGATCTCATTGTCAGATATGACGGGAAAAGCTCCAGGGTTTTAGTGAAAATTATAAAAATGGACACATTTACTAGATTTCGACAAATAAAATTGTAGATACTCTAGTGTGTTTCCTCACTTTTGTAATGCGGGGTCTACACGGCGAGTCGTGGGTCGTGGGTCGTGGGTCGTGAGTCGTAGGACGTGACCACGCACAATCGATTATTTTCCTCAACGTCGATTGTGCATGGTCACGTCTTACGACTCACGACTTTGCGACTCGCCGTGTAGACCCAGCATTACTGTTAGGGCTGGTTTATAATAGCCGTAACCGTTGATTTAAGCCGTAATCTTTAAGAAATTGACCAATCACAGTCGATTATTCTTCTCACATTCGACTGTGATTAGTCAATTTCTTAAAGATTACGGCTTAAATCAACGGTTACGGCTATTATAAACCAGCCCTTACAAAAAAGTGTGTGTCCGGGGCTTTAAGCTAGTGAAACTCAAGCAGTAAGCAAATCAGCCAATCACAGTCAAGAACTTAAGGCACGGCCCTAAGCGGTAGCGAATCCATACCGTTTATTTCTTATGCTATTTCTACAATGCAAGTCGTAAAGTCGTGAGTCGTAAGACGTGACCACGCACAGTCGCGTATTCTTCTCAACGTCGATTGTGCGTGGTCACGTCTTACGACTCACGACGCTCACGACTTTAAGCTGGCCACACACACTTTCCGTAGAACGTAACAGTAAGATTTCGACCAATCGCGTTGCTCGATTTGAAAACGTACGGTCATACGTTCCCGAATCGAATAACACGATTGGTCGAAATCCTACTGTTACTGTTACGAAAAAGTGTGTGTCCGGGGCCTTACGACTCGCATTGTAGACCTAGCATTACTGCTTAAGTTTTTCTATGTGTCAAGGCCCTTAAGCCTCGTGTCCACGATGCTAGAACTGTGTCCGAGTTTCGGTTTAAGCCAATGAAACTGCTACTTTTCTGTAAGAGCTGCAAGTTGATTGGCTTAAACCAAAACTCGGGCGCAGTTTTAGCATCGTGTACACAAGGCTTTAGGGCCGTGGCCGTGTCTAAGAGTTCTTGACTGTGATTGGTTGATTTGCTTAAGGCTATTGCACGTAATAAAGTTTTAGTCATAATCGTAATGCTAAGTCTACAATGCAAGTCGTAAAGTCGTGAGTCGTAAGAATTGACCAATCACAGTCGATTATTCTCCTCAAATTCGATTGTGATTGGTCAATTCTTACGACTCGCGACTTTACGACTCGCATTGTAGACCTAGCATAAGGCCGTAAGAAAATAGACCACGCACACTCGATTATTCTCCTTGAGCTCGAAGAATAATCGAGAAGTTTTTCTATGTGCCACGGGAACGCGCTCATCATTGAAGAATCACGAGATATGAATATCTAGATGCACATATGAGGCGTTCGGTCTGAAAGTGCCTAACTTCAGGCGCGAGGGCGCAACCAGCGGCAAGTGTGTTACTCGCATTTGTGACGTACTTCGCGATGCGCGTTTGTTCAAGTAGGGCGATCTTTACCGGCCTTCTACTTCCTTGTGTACTTCCTCTTCTCGTGACTTGATACGATGGCGTCCGGAGTAAGTAGCTTTCACGCGGTTTTTCACCGGTCAGCATCCGCGTCGTGGCGCGCCAACGCCGGCGCTAAATTGTCGGGAAACGAAGCCTACATAATGCCTTATCCGTTACACTATGAATTTTTTCCAGATTCTCTACACGTACCCGGAAAATTTCCGAGCCTATAAGGCTCTGATAGCGGCTCAGTTCTCCGGCACCCAGATCAAAGTTGCCCAAGATTTCGTTTTCGGCGAGACTAACAAGAGCGAAGCGTTTCTCAAGAAGTTTCCGTTGGGAAAGGTAAATAGAATCATTCGCGAACAATTACTTTCGCTCGACTTTCTCATGAATCTGTTAATTTCATTTTATTTTGTGTGCAGTACGTGTAGTTGACATGCTGTTTCTCTTGTCACATATGACGAGAAGCTATAAAATACTTTATTACTGGTACTTTTGATTTATAACAAATTATTGTAAAATACTATCCAGATAATGTTCTTTTTTTACGTTCCAACTGTTCTCATGATTTTCATATTAAGAGTATTCTATATAAAAATATAACGTTTCATATGGTATGGTTAGAATAATATTTGATGCTAATATTCTTACACATTATAGGAATGTCTTTTATTCAACTTTGCATAATAGACCAAGTAGAATAATGCAATGATTAATTTTTTATATTGGAAGTGAATAAGAAAAAGTAAAGGAAGAAGAATAGAAGAGCAGCAGAGAAGGGTGCAGAGAAAAGAGAGAAAGTTTTTATATACAAGTGTTTATAAATTGTCAATTTATTAGTAACGTGGAATACAAGCACCTTTCTCAGTTGCGCTACCTGTACAAATTTATATTTTAATGATAGAAAACATTTCTCAACATATGTACAATTTTTAAGGTCCCAGCGTTTGAAACATGTGATGGAACATATATCACGGAAAGCAATGCAATTGCTTATTATGGTGAGATTTCTAAAAAAAAATATGTGTATTTTTTTATTTTCTTCTGTTATTTATTTATAAAACATATGCCATATTTATAGTGGCTAATGAACAATTAAGAGGAAAAACTGATATTGAACGCTCGTTGGTTATCCAATGGCTGGGCTTTGCTGATTCTGAAATTCTTCCTGCCAGCTGCGCTTGGGTATTTCCTTTACTTGGAATAATGCCATATCATAAACAGGTATTATTGAAAAATTTTTTCTGTATTAGTCACATCATTGATTTGATCTTGCATACATGTATCCTCCTTCAAAGGCAAAATTGGCATAATTACATAGCCATTTTTTGTAACTCAGAGAGGTAGATTAAACTTATATGCGTATTATATTTACATGCTTATATAAATGGCATGTGTTTTTACAATATCGCATATACATTTGTCTTTGTACAATTATACCATTTATGCTCACGCGCGTACACACACACACAATAAAATTATAATGTAAAACACTAATATAACATTGGTTGATTAAATTTATATAATTCCTTTTAGACTGTAGAGCATGCTAAGGAGGACATAAATAAAGCACTCACTGCTTTAAACTCTCATTTGCTTACACGGACTTATTTAGTGGGAGAACGATTGACTCTGGCGGATATCTGTGTAGCTATGACATTGCTGCATTTGTATCAATATATTCTTGAACCGGAGCTACGTAAGCCTTATCAGAATGTAAATCGATGGTTTCAAACGGTCATCTATCAACCTGAATCCATTGCTGTAATCGGTGCCTTTAAACTGGCGGATAAGACTATTGAATATGATCCTAAGAAATTTGCAGAAACTCAGGGAAAGGTTATTAATAAACTATATTAATGCGCGCGCGCGTGTGTGTTAATACAGTAAAGATTATATATAATACATCGTAAATTACCTTATACAGAGTTCGAAAAAAGAAAAAAAGGAGAAAGAGTCCAAGAAGGAAGCAAAGGAGCCAAAAGAACCCAAGGAGTCGAAGAAAGAATCTAAAGTTGTAGCAGATAAAACCCCAGCAGCAGAAGACGAAGCCGACGCAACGGAAGAGGCTTTAGCTGCCGAACCGAAAAAGACGAATCCGTTTGCTTCGATGCCTAAAAGCTCGTTTGACCTTGATGATTTTAAACGATTTTACTCCAATGAAGATGAATCTAAATCGATTCCTTATTTCTGGCAGAAGTTCGACTCGGAAAATTATAGTATTTGGCTCAGCGAATACAAGTACAATAATGAACTAACTAAGGTATGCTTAGGTACTTGGTTGAGAAATATTTGAAGAATTGAAAAGTATTGTATACTTAATTAACATATGTTCCTCTTGCGGTTGTGTAGGTTTTCATGTCCTGCAATTTAATCAGTGGTATGTATCAGCGGTTAGATTCGTTGAGAAAAGGTGCATTTGCCAGTGCCTGTATATTCGGGAAAGATAACGACAATACGATCAGTGGCATTTGGGTCTGGCGGGGACAAGATCTTGTTTTTACGGTACGTTTTGTGCAAGCATAGTTTGAATGAATATACATATATGAAGGGTATAGGAGAAAAACAATCAATATCCATTCGGAGTAATTCCAAGAAAAATGCAATTTTAAGTTTTAAGACATCAGATAACATTAGCAAGTTATTGAAAAAAGTACTGAATGTAAGAACGGATAGTGTTTACATTGTATGTTGGAATCTGATGGTTCTTCCTCACAAGCGCGTAGATTATGATCGTTTTTTCCCCAGCACGGTCCATCTCGGCTTTATTTCCAATGAATTGTAACTGTTTTTTTTTTTATATCAAAACAGATAAGGATTATGAAAGTTCTTTAAAAATGCTACAAGATAGCATGATTAGATAAATTTTGACAAAAAGTAGTTTTCCCTTGTACTCTTCGTGTGTGTGTGTGTGTGTGTGTAAAGAATATTTGTGAGTAAAAAGTAAATATACATTTCTTTTTTTTTAGCTGAGTCCAGATTGGCAAGTGGATTACGAATCTTACAATTGGACAAAACTTGATCCATCTAAAGAAGAAACAAAGGAGTTGGTCAAGCAATATTTTAGTTGGACCGGCACAGACAAAGAGGGACGCAAATTCAATCAAGGAAAAGTTTTCAAGTAAACCTTGAATCAAATAAGATAAAATAAAAATAACCCTATTCGAATGAAATAAATCTAAAGAAATGATAAAAAGTTTACATATGCCCTTAAAAATCCTGCATTTAAGAGGATAAAAATCAGCACCCAAGATCTCTTTCGCCTAAATACATATTCCTTTCCCTCAATCTTTACTTAATATGAAATCGTTTGTATACATAGTCCATCTACATTGCTTTATCGCTTTATAATATATATTTTTAGTTTTCAAAAAGAGATTTTATCGCGTATGTGAATACACATACGTATGATATACACTCACTCACTCATATACACACACACACACTCTCTCTCTCTCTCTCTCTCATGCACGCACACAACATACATATACACACGCGCGCGCGTATCATACGTGTGTATTTATATATAATATAAATGTAATAAAGATAAATATTTAGAATTTATATTGTGCAGAAAATTTTCATTATTATTTTCATATTCACGATTTTGTTTATTATTTTTCATATACATCTCCAATTATCATTCTCGATCAGTCAATACCAGCTGTGAATTCTTAAATTGAGTGAATCTCCGATTGGAAAAGATATGACATATGCAGGTACAAGTAGAAGAAACTGATATTTTGCGCTGTTAAATTTACGAAAAAATTTATGTAATAATTTTATTGTGCGTGTATCATTTTGTCGCAGTCAATGACCATTTGATTTGGTATTTTCACGAGAGATGATACAATACTTGGATTATATCCATGTATATTTTCCATTCTGAGTTTAAGAATTGTTATATATGTAACATATGTATGTACTTAATACATGCTTAACGTTTTAAAAAGCTATATGGATAATTTCTTTGATATCGATATAAACATGTATTTTCACAGAAATAAATTGGATATTGTTAAAGTCCTAAAACGACATGTTCTATCTTCTCAACTCTCAACTGATAAAAATACTTATATATTAATTAAATAAACGAAGAATATTGAATAATTTTTTATTTAAACAAAAGTTGCGAGTTATTTTACAAGGTACTAGGATAATTTTGCTCGACGACATAAAATATACAGCAACAAAGTTTGTTTCGTAACAAAGATTCATGGTTTATTGCATATTTACAATATACAATTTAATATGAAAATATTTCTACTGATTCTTAGAAGCCTTTCATGTCCATCCATTCTTTAACACGACTAACGCAGTCACCTTTAAATTTAATTATACCTGCAAATTCGTGTATCTGACTAGCAACTTTTTTTCTCATGCGTTCCTCTAGGAATCGCTTCATATCGCGTTCCAATGCCCATATATCTCCTTGAATTTTAGTAATCTCTGTAACTTTTTTAGCTCCTCTGAGACTTCTAGTCAAATACACAGGCTGCATGTAGTTTTTTGTACGTTCCACAAAATAGGTATAATCCGTGGGCAAGGCTGTTAAACAGAGAGAGAAAAAAAAAATTCGTTACTCCAAGGTGCTACCCAAGTACATGCATTTTTTTATGCAAAAGATGCGATGTACGAATAAAATGTATTTAATATTTGTCGTTTACCAGACGCTGGTTTATAGCCGGATGAGAATTTGATATCTCCAGTAGCTGGTTTAGGTATAATTTTGTATCTGAGGACACGCTCTACATATTTCCACTCGGTTGGGTCTTTTGTTATCTCGTAATCTGTATAATCTTCAGGTGTTGTATATTTGGAAGACGATTTATAACTACCCCATCTCTGTTGAATCTGAAAGACAAAAGTGATTTGTAAGAAGCTTCATATATACATATATATATATATATATATATATATATATATTACATTGATAATGTCAATATTTATATTAACTTGGGCAAGTTGATACAATTAATCGCTATTCAGGTAACAAACGCAAAAATCTTTGTATGTTTATGATAGACTTGTAAAAATAATATTTCTCATACATATGATAAAACGATGATATATTTATACATGATTTTTCATTACACGAACCGTCGAAGAACTCTACATTCGTAGACAGTGATACTTGTTAATAAAAGTTGGCTCGCGCGAGACGGATATTTTCACAGATATTAATCGACGTGATGACGATATGTCACCAAACCTTTCACCGCGGCCGGGTTGAGCCGTCGTCTCGTCCCGACTGTCCGCTCAAGTGCGCTTAACGGCGATCGATCGACATTGCGCGGGGATGGTTAACGAGTCGACAATAACAATAATAACAAATACGCCCATGACTATTTGGCGAGAATGGGGAGAGAAAGAGAAAGAGAGAGACCCTTTGATGACGATGTCGTCCCAAAGGTATGCCGAGGTTAACGCGTGGTGGAAAGTCACGCTGCGAACTCGTCTCGAGAAATCTGTCACGTACCTGAGGCCCCGGGAACGCGACTCGTGACGTCGCGGCGCGATACAGTGGCTGCACAGGCCTCGGAAATTCCGGGATCGCCGCGAGGTTACCGCGTGCGAGAATCCGAAGGGCGGCCATTTTGGGGACTTTGGTAAATAAGGGTCGATCGGTCGGTCGACCGTCGAGCCGTCGAGTCAGTCGAGTGACTCGAGTGTCGCGGCGGTGTCGGTGAGACGTGAGACGGTGGCCGCCATTGATGCGCACCGTACGGGTACGGGCGTACGCGTACGACACGACGGGCGCGTCCTCCCTTTCGTGCTCTCTTTCGTCAGCGCGGCCGAGTCGCCGTCCGCCGAGTGCCGAGTCTGGAGCGCGAGTCTCGTATCGCGGGCAACCGCGTGCAAACTCGCGCCGCTATTCGTTTTTCTCGCTCGGGCATCAGGCCCGTGAGGCCCGTGGCCCGTGGCCACCGCTGCTGCCGCCGCCGCCGTCGTCGACAACGACAAGGCCGACGAAGGCGACGAAGCCAATTTCGATAGGTAATAGATAAACGTGGCTGTGCGCTCGCGCTAATTTAAACGCGATACGTGCTACGTGCTAGTTGCTACGTGCTACGCTAAAATCCGCGTTGTAACGCGGGGTCAGTTAGCGCGCACGTACCGTAGCGTGCCGTGCCGTGCTGTGCCGTGCCGTAACGTTCCGAGTAGCGGACAGCGGTGGCCGGAGCCGGAGCGGACGGTGCTCAAGGCTCAAGCCGCTCAAGGCGCAGCGACGCAGCCAGCGGGAATCGGGATAAAGTGTAGTGAGGTGAGGTGAGAGTGAGGTTAAAGTCAAGTGTGGAGTGGAGTGGTGTGGTGTGGTGTGGTGAGGTGAGGCGAAGTGAGAACGCAGCTAGTGGCCGTCGTTATCTCTCTCGCTCTCTCTCTCTCAACACCCGGCGTAGCGACGCTCGCGGCAGTGCGCGCGTGCTCTTTTTAAGCTTTTTAAACTGGCATCGATTCAGGAGCCGGCTCGGCGTGGCGCGACCGCTCCGCTCAGGATCTCGACCGGGCGGTGAAACGGCACGGGGCACGAGGGTGCAATCAGGTGCGAAAGCCTTAGTGGCCTTAGCAAGCGTCACGCACTTGACGGCGCGGCGCGGTGCCTTGTTATCGCGAACAGACTATGCTCCTGGGAGAAGCCGTGCGCCACGGCCGTCAGGTGGCGGTAGCCGGGACACAGTGCGACTGGGACTGGGACGGCGCATAGACACCCTGCAACGGGACTGTCTTTTCCACGGGGATTGCTGCCCGCGTTCTCTCGCGATCACCACGGACCTACGGCAGGATTTTCGATCCCCAAGGTAAGTTCTAAGCGTCACGAGGGTCGCGAGGGAGCCGACGATCGGCCGTCGCCGCGGGCCTGCCGCGTCGCATCGCGTCGCGTCGCGTCGCGATCTCGAAAGCCCGACTGCCCGAGCCCGAGTCGAGCGCCGACCTTTTGTTTATTCGTGGCGATTTTTTCCCGACGGTTTGTCGCGACGATTTCGTCGTCTTCCCGGAGAGGCCCGACCCAATTTCTCGGCTCGATAGTTAGCGTGTGACGTGCGCATTCTCGCAAACGCGGAATCGCCGCGATCGGCTGGCCGCGAGCCGAGATATCGCGCGAAATATTTCAGTCGCGGTACCGCGAGCGGCGCGGCGGAGTGGCGAGTGGCGAGCGCAGCGAGCGAGCGAGCGAGGCTGAGGCGCTCCGTGCATCCGTGTGCTAACGCAAAGTTTGTCACGTAATTTTTCTGGTCGCCAGGGCCGCATCTATCCACCCCGCTCGCTATCTCTCTCTCTGCCTCTTCGCCTCGCGATTCGTGACTTGAGACTCCGTGCTCCGTGCTCCGTGCTCCGTGCGGCACGTTGTCTTTGCTCCCCGTCGCCCTTTCGCGACGAGAGATGCGCTCTCCCAATGCCCGATGCCCGATGCCTGCCTCTCGCGGCCCCTCGATCCTCGACCGTGCTTCGCCAAATCGTGCGTTTCGCACCGCGCGAAATGGTATCGTGCGCTCGCGTTGCGCTCGCGCTCGCGCGCGCGTGCGAACGTGAACGCGAGCTACGACCTACGACTCCTTGCCGTTGCAAAACGTGGATATTGACTCGCCATTTTACTTTTACATCCTAGTCCATCTTTTCATGGATATTTACAAATGTCAGATATTTCGGTAGTTTCTTCGCGTACGTACTTATATCTTGTACTGTTCACTGTCGAGTCTTTTGCTCCAAGCTTGCTTCTCGAACTCAGAAAGCTTTCTCGCGATCGTTTCTTAATAACGTTCCAACGATCGTGTAACGGTTGCCGTAATACGTTGCGTTGTAATATTTAGACGAGACAGCTGTTTAGAAAATATAAATGACGTTACAGGAGCCTAATGTGGGTGGAAGTGAGATGGCATCCAGGGAAAAGAAACCCTTAGCGCCTTCCAAATCGAAACAGAAGGCGAATAACGATCCTGTCTTGCTATCCAATGAGGTCAAGAGTAAGAAAGGCAAGGCATTGCCGAATATAAAGCAGCAGCAGCAACTTGCGCAAGAGATATTTGATACGGTAGCGACAGGTAGTCAACTTCCTGTTAAATTAGAAGCGAGCTTGCCGCGTAGGAATGCCCTTAAAAATCTGAAACGCAAACAGAATTTAAGAGCAGCCAAGGCAACGCTCATCAAGTCCAAGGTTTCCAGGAAAGTGACCAACAAGGATATACACAGGGTAGCTCCTTACGTCAAGAAGGGTGCCAAGGGTGCGAAGAAAGTTAGGCAGCCGGAGGACGCGACCGTCAGGGCAGCCGATATCGCTCCGAAATTTTCAGAAAATCAGGCAAACAACGGGGACAACGAAGGCAAGGGAACTACTGAGACACCGAGTAAAAGTGCCAAGAGTAATCTCAGGACCAAAAAGACCAAATCCGACGGTCAAAGTAAGGAAGAGGCTGCCGCCGTTCTAGCTACGTCATCTAGCGCTAAAGTCAGTCCGAAACTTGGCAGAAAAGGAAAAACGACGGATAGTCCTGATTCTTTGTCCAAGAGTGCCAAAACAGTCAAATTGACAAACTTGAAGAAGAATAGTACCGGTCTCGTTAAAGTTACGGAGGCTGACAGCAAGGGGACGACGAGTGCAGGGAAAAGCCGGAAGAGCACCGGCAAGGACGTAGATTGCGGTAGTGGTGCGAGAAACAATCTTAGCGTTGAAAAATTTCCAAAGGCGGCTTTAGACAACAAGACGTCTATTGATCTTACTATAGATCAAGTCATTGCCTCAATGTTGAGCGACTCCGAAAGCGTTACGGACAAGACTGAAGGAAAGGTGACGAGGAGTAAGAAAATGTTGGTGGAGGAAAATATTGCTTGCGATATCGAGATAAAGAAAGAACCTGACGATGACGTTAAAGTTACATCGGACGGAGAGTCTATAGAGACGGATCAAGGATTTCATTTTCAAAACGCCATTCAGTTGAGAAAAAGGTCGAAAGTCGGCTATATCGATCAAATATCTCAAAGGAGCTTGCGAAATGGAAAGCAGCGTCAATTGTCAGATTTGGGAAATTCCGCGGATAACGATTCGAAAAAGCGGCACAGGCTCAATTCGGATGGGACTGTTGTCACGGATCATTTGTTAGAACATATCTCGGATTGTAATATAAATATCGACTCTTGCTTCTCGGATCCTGGTTGTAATGAATCTCCAAGTATTGTAGCATCGAACAAAGAGGAGGTTTGTTCCAAGGATGGAGCGTCTAATTTTAACGAGGACATTGAGACTGGATCGGGAATAGAGAACAACAATAACGGCGATCGCGCAGACAGGACAGGCGAGACCGGGCCGATTCTGCGTTCCAAAACGAAAGCTAAAACTGTCGAGTGCGAAGCAACGAGAGACGACGATGTTAAAACTGAAGACGCGCGAGTAGCGCCCAGGTTAGGCACCGAAGCACAAGAAGATTCGAAGAAACTCAATAATTTGGAGCAAGTGAAGAAAGATAATATTTTAGCCAAATTTACAGACAAATCTAAAGGTCGTAGAAGTAGTTTAAACGTAGACGTGAAGAAAACGGTCAATTCCTTTTACAGCGCAGATAAATCAGACGGTACGTCAAAATCGGATATAGATCAAATGATTGAAGACATTAAATTAAATATTGCAAAATCTATTGAAAACAGGATCTTTGGCCCGGAGAAAGGTCTTGGATTAAGTAAAAATTTTGACGTGCCCAAGATCGAAGAAATTGTCGCCCCACTCAGTACGGAGTCTCAAAAGATGGGATTAGAAGACAGTACCGATGAGGATAAGCCCACCGTTACGAGAAATGAAATCACGTCAGATAATTCAGAAAATTCAATACCAAGAGTGGCCGATACTGCCAAAGAGATCGAAGAGAAACTAGTCAAGTTTGATATTGGGGAAGCGGAGACACATTCGCAGAACGTCCAAGAGAACAAGGCCTCTGATAACGACATAATTAATGATGTACATAGCACTTGCGAATCTACATGTAATATAAATAATAATAGCGCTACGCAACAATCTTACAAGAATATGGTTGAACCAGAAGAGAAGAACGTTGGTTGTAGTACAGCCAGCGGCGCCTTAGTCAACGTCAGTGGTAACGAGTCAAAGACATTGGACGAAAATAAAAAGATTACGAGAAAGTCTTTGAGAATCAACGATAAATGTTCGGACAGCGTCAGCAATAACGAGACGAGGAAATCGAATAAAACACCAAATAAAACGGTCTCAAATAAATCGGATAACGTGGAGGATGTTTTAGCGGATATACAAAAGTCTACGAGCGAAGAAACAATTTCAGAGGATCAGCTTTCGGATGACAATGCTGTGGCTTTATCAGTATCCGCATCGATGTCTCCTGAGCAAGCGGAGGAGAGATTTATGGAAGGACGTATACAAACGAGAGGAACAACGGGATCGGAAACTGAAATCTCTCTCAACGTAATGGATAATTCAGAAGAGTCAGAAACATTGGAAAGTATATCTCGTGAGGTAGAAAGATTAGTAGCGGAAGACCACTCTGCCAAACCATTACCAAATACTACAAGTGACGCGATACAAAGTAAAGATATGATTTCTGATACCAAGATACCGGATAAGGAGCGGGAAATTCTAAGTACAAGTAATCAGGAAGCATCTAGTTGCTGCGATGACAATTCTACGCCATTAGGACCACCTGTCAATGACACAACTGAGACACCGTGCAAAAGTTACGTAGGTGGCAAGTCTACTGAAGACACAACTGAAATGTTACGAGAGAGCGATGTGTCTTGTAAGACGGCGCAAAGCGTAAGGCGTTCAAAAGTGAACAATAACTTGCTACATGTACCACGTGCTCTAAACTGTGATTTGAATAGCGTAAATTCTCCGTCTGTACATTGCACCTCTGACCGACTGAACGATGAAACTACGGAGCTCGAGCACGGTAATAATTGTAAAGAATTAAACAAATCTAGCGTTACGTCAAACATGACTGATTGTGAGAATATCTCGGAGCAAACGTCAGGATACGATGAAGCTGCTCTAATGGCCGATCAAATCAATAAATCCTCGGACGGTAAAGATCCTGATGAGCGGAAACTTGTTAACGAGGAAAACAGGAGGGTGTTGAGAACTCGCGATAAGCAGAGAAAAATTGAAAACAGGCAAGCCGCATCTCGCAACCGAGAATACGCCGACAACGCAAAAGTCAAGATGGAGGAAGTTAATGCGATTCAAAAAACGCAGATTTCCGGTCTACAGAACGACACCGATGAAGTAATACAGAGCTCGGTCGATGGTATCGCTAGTGTCGAAAGTTTTCCGAAGACGGAAGATGGAAATGACTCATTAAACAGCAACGAATTGGATGTCAACGAACTCGAGCCTCAAGCTCGTAGCCGTCGCTGTAGAGAGGTGAAAAAACGCAAAGAGGAATTGTCGCACGTGCCCGGCAGCTCCAAAACCAAGCGTGTCAAGCGAGATTTGCGAAGATCCGACCAGCAAAACAAAGAAGAGACCCTGCTGGACAACGAGGTTGCTAAAATCAACGAGAACAACAGATCATTCTTGAGCAAGTATGGCAGCGTTAGTGCCAACGCCAGTGCGAGCGCCAGTGCCAGCGCCAGTATCAACGTCAGCGTCAGCGTCAGCGTCGACCGCACAGACAGCTTTCGTGGATTCTTCGAGCAAGGTGGATTGGATAAGGTCGACAAAGATCCTAATTTGCGCAGCAAATCGGAAAACGACATAACGATCGTTGGCGCAAAGACTGGCGGCAAGAGCGAGAAACGACAACTCTCGCGAAACCTATCCGAGAATCATGTGTCGCAACAGACGATTGACAATATAGACAGTATGCTGGAAAACGAACGCAAGACTCTCAAGACACCGGAGCTCGTGCACAAGGATTCCGACGAGACGTCCACATCCAGTGAATCATTCAACAGCGGCACGCCAAAGATTCTGGAAACGCCTGAAGACAAAGAGAGGAAAGAGTCAATTTTGCGATTATTGGGACTCGAGTCTCTGGAGGAGGCGGCAAAGAGACAAAATCAGCAAAAGACGAAAAAGGAACAGTCGTCATCCACAGGTACTTTGAAGACGATCATCAGAGTATCGCAAAAGGAGAAGGACAAGGACAAGAGAGGATCGCGATCTCCGTTGAAAATGGTTCTCAAGCAGCAGGGACGTGGAGACGGAGAGGGTGATTCACCCGAATTTTACACCATTCAAAAGGAGGTGAGACTCAAAATCGAAATTCTCGCTTGCTCGATAGAAAATGTAACTCATTTGCTTAGCATACGAATTTTTCTCGTCATACTTGTCTTTCTTTTATTTTCTTTTGATTTTTCTTTAGCCATTTTTGTTTCTTCGACTGATCTTTAGAATTCATGACATCGATTGTACTTAATTATTAATTCAGGAGCAAGTCATTCTTAGTGTGCAATCTATATGTCATTTTTTTTAGAAATTTATCTTTATAATTTCCGTGTACGTGCCAGGACGTGCGCTTCATAATGCGGTCAATGAATTTAAAGACTTTCGCTTCAACGCTGCATGCGTAAAAGACGAAAATTTAAAGGAAAAGTTGAGGATAATACGCGGGTATTGAATATTAAGCTAATGAGTTATAATTTGATATATTTTTTATCAATCCAATTATATTTTGTTTCTTTTTTTTTTCAGTTTGGAACCAGTGGTTTGGGAGATAGCAGCTCTGGTGCGAACCGAAAGTTCACTACTAACCACAGACATTCTTGCGGTAATCCTGGTTGCGGGAATAACTAAATTGATAATCTTACTTATTTTTTCCCTAGTTACCTCTTTCCGAAAATTTCACATTTTCTTTTATTCTAAGCTGATGATCACGTAGGCTAGTGCAGTATAACGAGTGATGATTCACATTTCCATCTCGGATATTTTAGAGATTAATCGATAATCAAAATCGTTAACTTCTAGTCACGTTCTCCTCACTTTTTTTTCTTTCATTATCTTTAAAGTTACTTGCTATATGCTTAAGGCAATTAAAAGAATGCAATATGCGTTACACAAGATATCTTATATATTTACATGGTATATGGTTTAACTGAAAAGCGACCATATTTCGTTTATCTCTCTCTACGATCTGATATGGAATATTGTGCAACACTTGGTTTACAGACCACTAGTTCCAAAAACTTTATACTCACTCCACTGATATTTTTTATAACAATGCATGTGCCAATTTTTCACGCTGTTTGCTTTTCGAATTAAAAGTTACCAGCTAACTTTTAACTTTTGCGTTTTTACTAATATCTCCGTGTTCACATTAAATTGTTGGTTAAATTAGAAGAAAAGTTTTACGTCGAGATGCAACATTCGACAAAACATTATATTATCTAACTCGTCAATTTTACCATCGTAGATGACGATAATGAGGAAACTACGCCCAAGGATCGTCAGTCGCTTGTTATTCCAGAGAAATCATCATCTTTTTCTATACATCCTGGGCGCGTGTGCGCCGACGTATGTTGCTACTGCTTTGGAAAGTTTGGTTCTTTGGACACGCCAATGCATCTAGCCCAAATAAAATCTGATGAGAGGCGCAAAAAGATTTTGAACATAGAGAGACATCTTACAAAAGATTCATGTCTGTGTGACGCGTGCTATCGTCATGTTGATAGAAAGGTTTGTTCATTTTCGATGCTAATGATGATGGTATCTGTAATTTACGGATCGTTATTTATTTATATGTATGTATACACTTTGTACCACAAAATAATTAGACGTATAATTAATTCCGATATTTCTGACTGAAAACTTACCTAAAATCTTGCTTCTTTAGGCGAACACTAGCCCGACAAACATGCAGCAAAAGCCGCAGAAACAACATAGACAATTGATGATGGCAAAGTGCTCAGCTCGCGAATGTCGTGATCCTGCGCGGCATCATGCTAAACGCCGTTGGTTGCTCAAGATAAGACCTGGCCTTCAGAATCAGGTTAATATTTGTAACTCGATTGCTTACGTATCTAGGGATGTTGGTGTGGCGGTAAATGACGTGTCGTTTGTGCATGCACACGAGAAATATTGTTGCAGGTCGACATAGACTGGGACTCAAGTCAACACACCACGATGTCATTCTGCGTTAATCATTACGAGAAGGTTGGACGCTTCTTGACGTGCGCGCTCTGCAAGCGCCGACTCACTCGACAACACACTTACCCGCTGACTAACGCAGAAATCGACGACTTGAATCACCTGCTCGATCCGCAAGGAATTCCCGTTTTACTAGCAGTCGGCACATTCGTGTGCAAACTATGTCGTTACTTCGCACAGCTGCAACTCAAGTACAGGGAGGTCGACAATATGAGTGTGAATCACAGGAGCTTCTGCAAGAGTTATCGAAAGCGGTGAGTATACAGGCTAAAGCGTTTATGATCTCTAAGTAATCTCCACTTATGTGGCGAATATAAAGATTAACCCTACATCACTCGCGTGTAGTGTAAGATACATCTCGGCCCTCAAAAATCTATCAAATTTACAAAGTAAAATCTTTTTATCGTTCGAACGCAGCAAATTGTTTCAAGTAAGGAAAAACTTTTGAATAATTTTAATAAAAAATAAAAAAAAACCACGCGATTAATGTGGGGTTAAAGAAACGAGAAAGAAACTTGACCGAGAAGAAACGGAAAGAACTAATGATGATACCTTTCGTCATACAGGATTCTGCATAATCTCGGAATCGACGTGATTGATGACGAAGACGACGATTCATCCCAACAGGTGAATCAAGCGAGTCAGATCAAGGACAGGAAGAGCAAGAAGAGCATCAAGAATTTACAGTCCAAAAGTGTAAACTCCAAGTCTCCGGAACGCACGAGCGGTACGTCGGAGAAGTCGACACCGGAACCGAACAAGAATGAGAGTACGACGGAATGCAGCTCTGAAATGGGTAACGAGAGTCGCGCCCCCAGGTCGGTCAACGATGAAAATGTCAGTATGGGTGCTCAATATCTCGAGGGCACCATGGAAAACCTGAAAAAGCGCAAGATGCTCGATATGCACGCATATCCGCCGGGCACGTCGATCTCCTCTTTGTGCGACGGTGTGGTGGCGAATGGGATGACACTCGGGATGGACGAGGTTACCTTGACACGATTGCCAAAGAGATCGAGGCTCAGTAGTAACAATAACAATAATAACAGCAATGACATAACGCCTGTGGTGCAGAGACTCGGTGCAAATCCCTCCATAAGCGTACGTACGCTTTTCCCGGGCGAGGAGGAGATGAATCTTCACGTAAACATTGAGTTTCAGAATGTGCGCGAAGTCACGCCGCAAGGATGGGAGAAGTGTGCGACGATGATCCAGTATGATCGCGAGACCAAGCATCTTTGGCAACAGTTACAGCGACCGTACGGCAATCAAAGCTCCTTCCTGCGGCACTTGATCCTTCTGGAAAAGTATTACAGAGCCGGCGATCTGATATTGGCGCCAAACGCCTCGCGGAATGCAATCAACTACTCTACATCGGTGCAAAATAGACTGATATCATACGAAGGTCCGGAGAAAATGGATGAACCTATAATGGAACCGATTGCGACGGAGTACAGTAATCCGCGCCGTTTGAGCGGCGGCTACGTGCTGGAAAAAGATAGACTGTCCGTGCCCGGCACGAGTTTGATATCCAGATTGTCGACTAACGGCAGCGGCAATGCGTCGTCATCGCATTCGGCGAAAGTGAACTCGCCGCGGATGCTCAAACTCAACTCGGGGGTGTCAATTATAAAAAAATCGCCTCCAAGTTTGCAACGATTGAGTCTGCCGTCTACTAGCGGCAGCGGTAATAATGTCAGTGGCAATGGCAATGGCAATGGCAACGGCAGTAGCAGTGGTAATAGCAGTGGTAGTGGCAGTGGCAGTGGCAGTGGCGGTACTGCCGTGACGACAAACGGTGGTGGCGGTGTGAAGCGGAGAGACGGCCAGGTTTTATCCGCCGTTTACGGCAGCGGCGGCAAGGTGTTTCAATTGAGCGAGTCGGACATGAAGCGAATGCAAACGTACAAACGGCAGAAATTAAATGACAGACCTGTTGCCGGCACGAACAACGGGTCGCCAACTAGCGGAAGCATCAGATCGCAATATCAGAAGACGCAGATTGCTGTTTCCGGCCACAACCAGCAGTTTCAGAGGCACTTGCGAATGCAGCAAGAGATGTTGAGTCGTCAAAGCCGTGGTGACTTTGAACCACTGATATGCGACATTACGCGTACTGCTACATGTGCGAATGAAAACAGTCCGACAACCGGTCAAAATATCCTTCACAACCTCAATTTGCCCAAGTCGATCCAGGTGACAACCAAGCCGACGTCGTCGACGAACACGCCGATTCCGATTTTGCCGAAAATCCCGAAATCTTTGACGGTAATACCGCAAACCGTCACGAGATCTGTTGAAAAGTGAGAATGAGAGATGTAAGTAGACGTTGTGTACGCAGCAGTTTCTTTTTTTTTTCTTCGTTTCTTTTTCTCTTAAAGGAGAAAACGCAGTGCGGTGAGAATGGAAGATCGATGGAAGATTGGTACAAGATTTTACTTGTACGCTTTTTTACGCGTTGATATCGATCAAATCTCGAAATTGCCGCCAAAACGAAGCAAGATGATAATGATGATTATGGTCAGTGCTCTGAGAGCAATTTCTGCCTTATGTGAGCGCATCGCGATATGCACTTACCGAGCCTGAACGCTCAAAAACACACATTGATTTTACCTTATGATTAAGACGAGACAAACTATAGCGATTTATATATACTTGTTGCATCGATCGTGATCATAAACTTGTAAATAGATTAGTAGGATAATTCGAGCAAATTGAGACACTCTTTGATTCTAACGATATTATACATATATTAACAACCAAAGTTTCGCTATAAAATGCATTAACGAAAAACGTGTTTAACAATGCTGTTTCCACGGAAAGTGCCTAAAATGACAGGAGGTAGGCGGGAAACCGTTACATTTATTACGTAATTATGCATATGAGATTCGGATTCTCTCAATGCGGTACATACCGTAGGTACCTCGTACGTACCTCGCGAGTCTCTAGTGAATATTGGTACAATCTGTAGAGTGAGCTTTCATGAAGAAAGATCGATAATGGTCGAAGCTTACAGTGACAATACGAGCGGAATAAATTCACAAAGTTTACGGATTTCAGAATGTCCTGTATTATAGAAGGTGTGGGGCACCGTAATCAACAAGGGGAGCTTTCCGACTAGACGGAACAAGTCGACGCAAACGTCGTTTTATCTTTCTTTTCTTTGGCAATGAGTAACAAAGACAAAACGACACTTGCGTCGACTTGTGTCGCTTGCCGAAAAGCTCCCAAGATAATTCCCCAAGCAGAAGCCTCTCGTTGGACCGCCAACTGTCGCTTGTAAATATTTTCAGATACGATCAAATAGACGCGCATGTGTTTCCGTATTGAAAATGTCTTCTCAAAGATTAATCGATTAAAAAGGAAAAAAATAGATTTTTACGCAATCAGAAAATTTTATATCTTTACTCGATCTTTTCTCACGAGAGATCACTTCCTTACCACCGGCTATACCATCGATTTATCATATGTTCTACACACACTTAGAAAGAATTCATTATTTTAACAGCATTGCGTCGATTTTAATTTAAACATATACAGCTTTTCCTTTTTTCTTTATATTTAGTTAATTAGAAGCGTAATAAGAAATGTATGTATTAGGTAGATGAATAGACTCCTTTACGATTTATCACGCGAAAGGATTTAAATTGTAAAGATCACTTTACTCAACTTGCTTACTTCTTGATTTTTTCTTGCTCGACATATCGAACATACCTATTTTTTTGAAAAGGGAGATGGGTGGTAGGGGGAAAAAGAGTGCAAGGAAAATATATATCGAATCTTGTCCGGTTGAATGATTGTTATCGGTAGTTCGTTCCTCTTATCGCGTCTAAAGAGAGAATTGGACATGGTTGCGCGGCAATCGTATACCAGCGATATGTGCTTGCACACTGCAAGTCACTATATTTTATCTACGTAAAAATCTTTTTGGGCGTTTGCGAGAACGATCCGAACAAATGTACATTATATAATATTGGCCTGCTCGACCTTTAGGAGCGTAATGACAAGATCGTAAGTAATTAAATAACAGTTAATTTAGGGAGGGGGAGGGAGAGAGAGAGAGACGTTTAATTCAAAGTGTTAAGCTGTTAAGGGAGTCGAATACATGCAAAGTGAGTATAGATTTAACATTCTTATTGAGCTTATTTATTACGTTACTATCATTAATACGCATTGTACATATAGACCGATAGTACATTATTATAATTTTTAATCGATCCATAATGAAAAAACGATTATGATAGAATTGAAGCATCCAACTCATTTGTAGAATTGCGGACGATCGGACGGTAAGAATCGACGATCGAGATGTTGCGCGTGAGACTGCGAGGATTTTCTTATTTCGTGCGTTTCTTCTTGCGTACATCTATTATTCGATATTTGACATTCAACGCGCATTATCATCACGCCACTTGACTCCACTCCACTCCACTCCATCCCATCTTCCTGCTACACACATGCGAGATTCTCTTCGCACTGTTCATATCAAACTCGGTAGAAACCTTTTCATTCGCATTATGCAAAAAATAGCGAAACAAACCATCGGTAATAACGTGTTAAATAGTTATGTCTTTTGTATTATAAGAAATATTTATTATAATTACTAGTACAAATTATTAGTAATCATTATTGTCTGTCATTGTTGCAATTGTTCTATTGTTTTATTCATATATTTGTTTATCTACATAGAAATATCAAAAAGTTCAATACGCTTGCCAAATTTGATGTGTTTTTCTATTTGCGCTTGGATCACAGATGAGAATTTATTTATATGTTTGTTTACATTCAAAATCTCCAAGGGATTTTTCAGATCATGCACACGCATTGTGTCACCAAACGTACGTAATTATATACAGGGTGTCCTATTTTAAAGTTTACAGTGCTGTATTTCGAGAATCGAAGATTTTATTGAAAAATGTTTCAGACAAAAGGTGTATGGTTTGGAGGGGGACACATGATTCCGATATGAGTCGTATCGTAGATGTCGTTTTCTAGAAATTTTAAAGGCGACTAATTTCTTTAATCCTTAAATGCCCCCTGGGGTCCAGCAGACCCCAGACTCTTTACAATGATAAATTTTCAAATGTTCTTGCCAAAAATGGAGCTCATGCTCCCATTGGTGATAGTTGAGTGATTGACCTACCCGTTTGTACACTTAGCAGTACTCAGTTTACTTAATTTTTTATACTATGTTGAAATTGAAATTTTAACAATATAAGCATTTTATTCTCTTTTTTAAACCTTGAACAACATTAAAAAAAATTTTCATAACTAAAGATAAAAAAATCAATGAGTAAGGAGACATTTTTCATGCTAGGGTCTTTTAGACCCCTCATGTCATTTACGAGATTCTTGAGAGGTGTGGCATTTAAGGGTTAATGGAACTTGATTTAAGTTGTAGATCTTGTCGAAACGTTTTCAAAACACTATAATAAAGCTGTTTTTAATAAAGAATTTCCTGAGATATTTTAATATATGAAATATCGTAAAGTATTCACTTTTCAATGACTTTACCTTAATACTTTTATTCATAGAATAATAAGAAGAATAATGATATTAATTTTTCGGATAATAATATCTAATCATTTTTATATTTGCAATTTTGCAAAATTAAATGTGTATAAAATCCAATCGAAATTTTTGAAATAATTTTTTTTTTTCAACAATTGATTTTTTTCATGATTCTACGTATAAAAGTAATGAAAGTAAAGTCATCAAAACATGACTTAACATGAAGGACATGAAAATACTTTTTGCGACATATTTCATATTCTATATTAATAAATATTATGACAAAATTTAAAATATCTCAGGAAATTCTTAACGAAAGTGAACTTTATAATAGTGTTTTGAAAACGTCTCGACAAAATCTACAACTTTTATCTCAAGAAAAAAACCAAGTATTATTTACGAAATTAGTCGCCTTTAAAATTCCTTGAAAACTCGCATCGGATTCATGTGTCCCCCTCCAAACCATACAACTTTTGTCTAAAACATTTTTCAATAAAATCATTGGTTCCCGAGATATAACATTGTAAACTTTAAAATAAGGGACACCCTGTACAATAATTATAATAATCATTGCTATTATGGATTATCTTACTGTTCAACTACTTGCAAGTTTAGTTATAATACGAGACAACCAATTTATCATTATTCTAACTAATCTAACTATTGGCAATCAAGATTTATTATCTTATATGATTTGTACGAGTGTTTCTGATAATGTTAAATGTTATTTTTGAATATACTTGTACTATTTTACAACTCTTCTATGATGTCACTTGTTTGTTAATCGAATCGGTAATGATACGTCCAACGTTATATATGTTACATTTTCATAAAAATCGTAAAAACAATTCTGTGCGAGAGAATCTTGTATCTGCTGTGAAAACAATTCCTTCTGCTCCAATGTACAGATATTCTTTTATAAATTGAAGAACTGTGTGTGTTTGTGCGTGCGTGCGTGCGTGTGTGTGTGTGTGTGTGTGTGTGTAGATATACTCTAGGCAAGTATAAATACGCGAAACAAAGTATCCATTTTACCGCAAAAATATTCAATATGCGTAATCAACGCGTATACACACATACTTGACGTGCACTCGTGGATTCACACTCATGTGTAAAACACAAACACATTTAATAAATGCACGCGTAAATGCGTGCGAATGTACTAATAAGAACATAGGTATATTATATGTATATTAATTATATATATATATGACACTACGTTATAAATAAAGAATTCTTTATAAATATGGTACATATATATATATAATAGCAGACATAATACACTATAATATAAAGAAAAATACGTGTGACGATACCTACGTTATATATATATAAATACTTTATTTTACTAAGGATATTTTTGATATACCTATACATATATGAATATATGTATATCGAACTAAAGAAAAAAAAGGCAAATCACTAGCAATATAGTGATGATGAATATAAATATTGTTATATTGTGCGGAGATGTTTCCGAAATCGCAAATAGTCGTGATGGAGTGTGTCGCAAAAAAAAAAAGAAAAAGAAAATACATATACACACAACAATATACGTATATATAATGTACAAACGACACACATATATGGATATGGAAATGGAATAATTGATATCGAATCACCTATACGTGTCTATTTCAATTTTTTTTTTTCATCATTCTTATAATTGCTGAACTTTCAATGGTTAAGCTTGCAACTTGTTATTAGTGAGAAAATCATCAATGGATCGCAGTGATTTTTTCTTGCGTTCAACAATTCTTATTTTCTCTTTTTATTTTATATAAATCCGCTCTTTGATTATTGAAATTGTTTTTCAGTCTGTTTGATATCTGGATAAACTCAAACCGATAAAATATCACATGTTAATATTTAAGATTTATTATTGCCATAAATAATCCCGATTTAGATTACGATTAGGAGATTTAGATTACCATAGGCAGTACGTGTAAGTTTGTATTTATTTTTAATGCAGAAAAAACGGATCTCGTGTGTAGCGTTAATTTCTAATTTTTTGATATACATAATTTTTCTTTCAAAATACGCAGCGCATTACCTTGCAAAATATTGGCGAAATATTAATGCGAGTACGTACGCGATCCTTAACAATTTTTATCAAGTTTCACGAAAGTGAGCGAAACATAAAGAGAAATAATTATTGTTGAGAAAAGTTTACAATTGTGTGTTATATTAAATCAGGTTTTGAGAAGTATGACAAAACTTTCCCATACTTAATTGCACGTATACTTTTTTGTAATATTTTTCATCGTTCATCGATTCATCTAGCAGCAAGAATAAATTTTTGTTGAAAGCATGCCATTGAGGGAGAATTACATTATCGGTCATCGTTGTGACGATGATTTTAAATTGCAATAATTCTAAACAGTTATTTACTTGGAATGCTCAATACATCATCGATATGAATTTACTCTCGCCATTTGCACGCATTTCATTATTTCATTACTCACGGCACACTCCACACGGCGCGTCGCGGCGCGGCGCGGCGCGTCCGCCGCGGGTGCACACTACTGCACACGCGTGTCACGCGACGAAGGAGAAAGAATTTGCAGATCGCGAACGAACAAGAACTGAGTTTAAGTTTTAAGAGTTCTATTTTTCTGGCGGCAGAAAGCGTAATTATTGTAAAAGCATGTCGAATGGACGATTTTGACTCTTGGCTGCCCTGACTGATTGTCCTGGCATCGGTCTAGTGATAATCATTGATTGATGAAATGATGAACAATTTATTATCAAACTTGTAACATACACATTAAGAGATGAGATGTGAAAATTACTCGCGGGACTTGTCGATAACAAATTTTCCTATCGTAATTTTGTTAAATCCGATATGCAACGACCATTGTTAAATCTTTGGTTGATTTAGGT